TTTATACCATCACCTTAACCTTTACCTCCTACATCCCTTTAAAGAGATCTTACCCCATTTCATAATTAATCTCAGGCTGTAGTTGTATCTGAACAGCAGACTGAAACTGAACAAACTATTCAAGATCTATCTTTAGTTCAAGTTACTTATGATCCTAGTGTTAAGTTTAAAGAAATCCTCTTTGACTACCTCCACCCTAAAATTTTCCTAAAACCGCCTGTCCATTTAAATCAATCATCTAAACCTGGACCCTTACTTACAAATAGTTCATCCACCTCACAAATTATCCAAACCAACCTTAGTGTAATCAAGAATGTCTTAGTGGATAATACTCAAAATCTAGTCCTTGAGAAGTCTTTTTCAAATGAACCTATAACATATTCTGCTAAATGGGACTCTATTCAAACTTCGGTTGCATCAGCCATTCAGAATTTGAAGGATGCCACTTTAGAGTCTGTTACATCTTCTTGTTCCAAACAAGATGCATTGGAGAAGAATTTGGCTTTGGTTACTTCATTCAAAAACATAATGGCTGACAAGCAGAAGGACATGGATGAAAGGATGAAGTATAATGTTGACAGAAAAGACATCATGGGTGCAAACCTTAGAGCTATTTTGGTTTTGTTGAAGAAACCATAGATTTAAGCTTTAGGAACCCATTTTTTGCTTATTTTTTCTTCTGAACTCATTTTATGCTCATTTAATATATGCAATTATCTGTTCTTGTTTATTCATGGTGTTGTTATCTATCTTGTGGTTGTGATTGCTTGTGTATGCTTTACATTAAGATATATTTACCTGGGAATTATTATTGTTCTTTTGATAAATGTGTGATATAGTTTTTACTTGGTTATTGATGAAATATTTTTCTGAGAATTTTTTGGATGAGTATATGCATTTAGAAGAGTATCAATTCGTTCAGAGTTATTAAAAAGGGGGAAAAATTTTTCATTCATTAATGGAAAGAGTACATTTTTCAAAAGATTACATTATCTTATCTGGATCAGATAACTAACCCCTAGCACTAATGGACTCATCCCACCCACACACTCGTTCCTCGCTTCCCTCGTCAGAATCATAGAAGAACATCCTCTTTTGCACTCTCGTTTTCTTCCTTTTCAGCTTCTTCTTATGCCTCCTCACCTATAGGGCTTTCCGTGTGATTACTGACCCAGTTGGTTGAGCTTCCTCCACAGGTTACTGAGTATGTGGAAAACATAAGTGAAAAAGCAATACTACATAGGTTCTGATTGATCAGAATTTGAATATGTTCATTAGTATCTAAAGGTTCAAACTCTGATATGAGGCTTCAACTTTTGGTGACAACTCATACCCTGAAGGCTTAAAGAGCGTCTGATTCGTACTCTGCAGCAAAGGTGACCACTCTTATCTAAGTGACAGATCTCTGGACATAGTCAACTAGGGTTTGGTTTTGCAAGAAGGATGGTGATATGACCTCTTCAATATGTACTACCTTTTGGTAGATATCTAGTTACTTGAAAGGTGTTATGGACATTGCTTTTATTCGATGGACAATACTTCTGACCGGATACAACTCTTCAACGTCTCTCTTTATATCCTTGACCAAAGCCCATTTAGAGTTGTGCAAGTGTTATTGTTAGATTAGTTTATGGTCATTTAGTTGCTACTTAACTAACTCAAAACTCATGTATATACAGATCACTTATGCTATAATTCAGTTAATGAAACAATTCACTTTTTACTATCATATCACACTTTGTTTTCTTACTCTCTGAGATCTTCATCATCAACAATGATCCTTTCAAAATATAAAAAGAGATTAAGGTACAACCTATTTATAAACATACACACTACCCACTCCACAGAAAAACTCAACTTTAAGCCAAATTAAATACAACACAATACTCAAACCAAACAATTATCCAACTAAAAGTTTAACACTAAGATGTATAACAAGAATAAACCACTCTAGTCATCAACGAATTAGGTTAGTGATATGGGTGTGCAAAAAAACCGGTTCACAAGAATCAAATTTGAAAATATGGTGCACCGATTTCAAAAGTCCATATTATTTGGTTTAAAAACTAGTCCAAATTCATTTTACTAAAACCATTAAAAACCAGTGTCCACTTTTTAAAACCATGGTTAATCCATTTTTTAAACTCTTTGTCTTTTTTTTTTGTTTCATGGTCATAAATGACAATTAAAGTAATATATATGTAATAAATAAAACTTTTATATATATATATATATATATATATATATATATATATATATATATATATATATATATATATATATATATATATATATATATATATATATATATATATATATATATATATATATATATATATATATATATATATATATATATATATATATATATATATATATATATATATATATATATATATATATATATGGGTGTGCAAAATAACCAATAACCATAAACCAAATTCTTATCCAAATTAATTCAAATTTTAAAATTCAGTCCAAATTTATATTTTAAATTTGGTGGCCCATTTATCAAATTAAATAAAAACAGTAACCATTTGTTTCAAACCGGATTGAGATTCGGTAACCATTTTTCAATAAGCTTCAAAAACAAAAGTAGAATAGTTTAGGAAAATCAAGATCAACACTCATAGTTTACAATAAAATTGATTTGGTTTAAAGTAGAATAAGTTTAAGATAGATAGTTTGCAATAAATTTAAAGTAGAATAAGTTTCACGATTAATTGATTTATATCAATTCAACGTACTTCTCGATTAATTGATTTAATTCACGATGAAAAGGAATTAGTCTAATTCCAGTTTTACATTGAGTAGTTTAAAGTTTAAGATATATGGAGTGTTGATTTAATTCAATGTAAAATTGAAATAAAATTGATTAATTGATTTATATCAATTATTTGATAGTTTGCAATAAGTTTAAAGTAGAATAAATTTCAGGTGGTTTATCAATTATTTGATAGTTTGCAATAAAATTGATTTTTTTTCAAAATTGGTTTTAAACTGATTTCTTTAAAGAAAATAAAAATCTGACTTTGAGAGAAACCGATTTAAAACTGGTTTTTAAAAAAACTATTTTTTTTTTAAAAACCGGTTTGAAACCTAACCAATCCACTTGTAAACCGGTTTTAAAAAAATAAACCGATTTTATATAAATAGTTTTAAGATCCAAACCAAACTATATATGTGATTTGGTTTGGTTTATAATCCATGCACACCCCTAATTAACGAGACTTGTTAAAAAATAAATTCTATATTCTTAAAAAATATATAACCAACACATTTGTAAGACTTGAAGATTCGTGAATCATAAACCTCTCATATTTAAATAAATAAAATATACAAATTATTGCTTAAAAATCCATTCACATTTGAATCAAATTCATATATATATATATATATATATATATATATATATATATATATATATATATATATATATATATATATATATATATATATATATATATATATATATATATATATATATATATATATATATATATATATATATATATATATATATATATATATATATATATATATAAACTTAATTAAAATTGATTAAAATACCGGTTGAATAAGTTTTAATGATCTCATCCATAAATTGATTAATATTCATAATTGAAACTACGGATCTATCAATATTAATTGGTTTAATGGTGATTAATGTTAGATTTGATAGAGAAGATCAAAATTCGATCTTTGCTATAATCGGTTAAAACTGAAACCATTTAGTATCAAAACTGACTTTCAAAAGGGTGGAAAAAAACCTAAGGGTCTTGGTCAAGGCACATTGCTCTGGCATGATGCATCCACCGTCCATCTCAAGAACATATAAAACAACCAATAATTTAGATTTGAAATCTACATTATTTAGCAAAAAATATCAGTCCTTGGAGTCAAGTGACAACTGACAAAACGACAGTTAGTACATACGTGAACTGTAACTCATAATTCATGAACCTCCAAAACCATCTTTTCTCATTCTACAATCCATCCAAAGAAGAGAAGAGAATTTACATTACATTACATAACATTCCTCAAAACCACTCTCACTCTTTAGTATATTACTACATGTGAATTATGTGTCTTTTTTTTTCTTTTTTTTCATGTCAAAACTGATGTCTTATACATATACACATCACACCATGGAGCACCAATCATCACCCACCATTTGCCAAATATATATGTGATCAACAAGATACCCTCTGAAATTGAGAGTGAGAGGAGTACTATAGTGGGGTTACTCATAATTAACTTCTCCATTAATCACTTCACCAACGACATTATTAATTGGAACTGGTTAGAGATAGCTTATCGTCAAATAATTAACATCATATCATTATTTTCAATACTTCCCTTTCTATCATTTTCCTCTTTTTTTTTCCTTTAACCAACAACAAAAAATAAGGACTTTTTCTTTATACAAACGAGGCAATTAACCACCTGCATGTCATTAAAACATTCGTTGCCAAAACAGGAAAAGTGAAATTCATAATTAAATTACGACTTTTCTATCGCAAATACTAACTCGGTTGATAATTGTGCAGAAAAGTCCTGAATTAACATAGGAGCGACTAACATATTAATATTAGTTTAATTGATAATTATATAGAAACACATTACAAATGAAAAAGTTAAATCATCAGGATTCGGTCCTTTGACAAAAAAGAAAATACTAACGTAACAACTAACATGTTAGATAATTGTGAAGTGACAAATATATCAACGATTTTTTTCTCTCTTTATTTATTTATTTATTTATTAATTTCTAACAATAATTACAAATCAATTGAGAGAAAAGAAAAACACACAGATACAAAAGGCACAGCAGCATACTCATAACAGAAAAACCACAAGTGGCTGCAGAGACACAGACCAAAACTAAGAAGAAGAAAAAGAAGAGATTTATACAGAACAAGAATAGAGAAAACATGTGAGAGAATCAGAGAAATATCGGTGAAGGACTTTATAGTAAAATCATCAAACTCATCTGAAAGCTAGCCATAGTTACTATAAACTTCACTCCAAAGAACATCTTCCATGGTGTGCAAGCATGGAGGCTGAAACATCCACGAAGCGTCAATAGAGTCAATAAACACAAACTCCTTCTCGAATTCACCGCTGTTTCCGAGACTAGGAAGTTCGATTATCTCACTCAACTCATACGGGGCTGCGGACGAAGGAAACTCCATGTGAGCGGCTTTCGTGGCAGCGGCCTGAACGTCGCGGGGAGAGACAGAAGCCGGCCGGGGGAGCGAGTTGGCCAACTCGGGGAAATTGAGAATGGCAGCATTTCCTTTGATGCTGAGAGCGGCTACGTCGTGTGCTCGAGCTGCCATTTCTGGAGTTGGGAATGTGCCGAGCCATATTCGGGACTTTTTCTTCGGCTCACGGATTTCAGACACCCATTTTCCCCAGTTTCGCATACGGACGCCGCGGTAGAGGGGATGCTTGTTTGTGTTTGTGTCAGTGTCAGTGTCTCGAATGCGTTTGATTTTTTGGGATTGTGGTGGGGAATTGTTTGAGATGGTTTTGGATTCTGAGTTATGAGGTTGTTGAATAGTAGTACTCATGGTTGGGTTTGGGAAGAGGAGAAGAGAAGAGAAGAAGAAGTAAAGGGAAGTTAATGGGGCGTGACCCTTTTTTGTGTCACTTGCCAATGAGACTTATAAAGGTTGAGTTGAGTTGATATTGGTTAGTTGTTTAGTGTAAAGGACTAAGGGGACCCACACGTAAGGAAAATGGATCATGGATCCAGATCCCATGCAACCTATATTACTCTGTAACTGTATGGAGTCCACTGTAGAACGTTAGATTAAGGAAAAAGTAATTGAGAGAAATGATTTTTTTTTAGGGTGTGTTTGGTGTATAAGAGATGTTGTGAAGAGAAAAATAAATAAATAAGATAGATTGTAAGAAGAAAGAAAAATGTGAGAAATAAAATAGATTTAAAATATTGATTGTTTTAAGAAAAAGAGAGAAGAAATAGAAAAGAGAGAAGTGTTGAATATTTTTAAAATACTATAAGCAAATAATATTTTTAATTACTAATTTAATTCTTTTAGTTAAATTCAATTAATTGATTAAATATTCTCTTTTACTAATTTAAAAATTATATATTTTTAATGTTTATTTTCAAATAAATTTATATATTTTAATCTCTCTTTTCTATTTTTTTGATCTGTCAAACTAAAGACATACCTTATCTCTCTTTTTTCTCTCTCTTCTTAATCTCTTTTCTTAACTTATATTATTCCAAACACTACTTACCTTATAGTCTATTGGTTTGTGGATTGTATAGTATGATGTAGAGAATTTAATATAAGAATTTACCTTAATATAATGGTCAGGGATGATAAATAGGAATCTCCTACTGTTTAAGTCTATTTCATATTTTTATGTGGAGTGGGACAAACATAAATGAGAATGTAAGTTTAAAATTTTATTTCTGGCACCTAAAAAAATTAAGGTGGAGTGGATATGCGGATCTTGGATCTCTAAAGCTTAAAAATTATAAAAATTATGGTGAATGCGTGTATCTAAAAAAAAAATGGAGAGTGGAACGAATATATTAAAGAGTGTAAAGTTAAAACATTTATCCGTTCAACAAAAAATGGGGAAAAACAGAGTGGATGGAATCCGTTTTGTCACCCTAATAATAGTCATTGATTTAAACTTTGAGTTTAGACTCGTGACAGCATACACAGGATCACATTTCATTCTTTTAATAAAGATAAATTCTTTAGTATCCATAAGTTTTGATTGAATACAAATATATTAAGTTTGATTTAAAATTTAATTTATTTTTAAATAAAATAATATTAAAAAGTGACGTGCTATTAAATAATATTATTTTATTTGATATGTGTTCTGGCCTGAGGCCCGGTTTGGCCACGCAGACCCAGCCCAGTTCAGCTTGGGCTGCAGCATCGGGCACAGGGTCCCCGACGAGCAGGAAATGTCCCGCCGCGGGCAAGACCTGCCTCAGCTATGTCAGGCACAAGACTCCCCCATCGACCAAACACTGCCCTCTCTGCGGTCAGAACCTACCCTCCGCGGGCAGAACATGCTCCTTTGTCGGGCATGACAACGTGTCCTTCACACGTTCTCCACGTGCTCCCTTCGCCAGGGACACGTCACCGACCAACCGTCCACCTCCGAAAAAGCAGGTCAAACCCACTTTTCGGAGATCACGGGACAGTTGGACTAGGGCGAAAACCACGTCCTGATCTTCACTACGCCATGTAAGCCCTAGCAGTCACCTGAGTTGGGTCTGTCAATCCAGCCCAACACAAGTGACCGTTGGCCCAGCGCTGGGGTTTCTCTATAAATACTCTCTTTCACAAGAGGGTCAGGTAATTCACTTCTTACCCCTTTTCTACATTTGCTGTCACTCTGTCCAATTCTTTACTTTGACATCGGAGTGTCTTGCAGGTATACCCCCTCCTCATCTTCATCACCGGTGAACAGGCAGCAGCCCAACAGAGTGTGGCCAGCTAGTGATCCCCTTCTGATCAGGTCAGATCAATAAGTGTTTGTCCAACTAAATTCAAAGGGTATCAAAATATTTCCCTTAACTAGATTGAAAATGAGTCGAATCGAATTTGTCTCAGTTTGGCGCGACTTGATAAAATTTGTTTAACTTAATATTCAATTTAAGTTGGACATAAACTCTTTTCTAAATTAAAACTCGACTCATTTTAAGTTTTTGAATAATTTGATTCAATTTGTTAGGTTCATCTCGTTTCACGGACTTAAAAGTCATTTTTAAATTTTTTTTTTAACAAAAGAAAAGTAATGAACCAATATCATCTCTCTTAAAATTTTGTTTTTTATTTTTTAAAACTTATTTTTAAAAACTAAATTAATTTTAAAAATATAATAATAAAAATTCTCCTATGATCACCAATTATTTACAATTATTTTATTTTCAAAATTTTATTCGCAAATCTTTAATATTTTGATTATGCAAGAGTTTTAAATTTTTTAAACAAATGTACTCATCACTAATATAAATCATTGGTAGTTTTATTTGATATAAAAATTTTATTAAATAAAGAAGGTTATTCTTTAATCACTATATATAATATTTTTTTATATGATATTGATTTTATTTGTATAATTATTTTAAAAATATTTTTGCTAACTTAAAAATATAAATTATCAATTAAAATCATTATATTAAAAAAAAAATAGAATGCTAAGATTTGAAGTAAACTTTTATTAAAATTATTTCACTATGCCAAAAATGGCCTTTAGCAGCGCTTTTTTTGACCTTTAGCAGCGCTTTAAAGCGCTGCCTAAAGTGGCGCTGCTAAAGGTAAAGACAGCGCTTTTTTTATGTAAAAAGCGCTGCTAAAGATATCACTTTTAGCAGCGCTTTTTTACCCCTTTACCAGCGCTTTCAAAGCGCTGCCTATTCTCCCCCCCCCCCTCCCCCCTGTAGCAGCGCTTTATTAAAGCGCTTTTGTAGGCCACCTTTTAGCAGCGCTTTTTTAAAGCGCTTTCTTAGACACCTCCTTTCCTAACCTATAGCAGCGCTTTTTTATGCCTATTTTTCTCCCTTTAGCAGCGCTTTCTTGTAAAAGCGCTGTCTATACCTCACGTTTTTAAAAATCTTTTTTTTTGAAAAATCACATTTTTTTTATATTTTTAGACAAACCTGCTTATAACAATTAAATTCCCTGCTTATAATTCAGGCTTTAAACATAACTTGGCCTTTAAACATTGTAATTCAACACTTGGCCTTTAATTCAACACAATATAACTAAACATTGTACATTATACAATAACACTTTGCAATTTACACATAATTAACTCAAGTATAATTTACACATAATTTAAACATTGTACATTATACAATATACAATATACAATTTACACATAATTACAAATCCAATATACATTATAGAATTCTTAACTCAATCATAAATTGACACCATTCTTCCTTAATTTCTTCCAGTTTTACTTTCGAGTACGTAGCGCATATGAATTCATCAAAATACTACATAATATAACAGAACAAGCACGATTTAATACTAATTACTCAGATGAAATATTAGTTAATTATCAAAATGAATCATATAACTCATGAATTGATCCATACCATGATTGGAATCTCTAATTGACCAGAAAGAATGATTTCCTTCATAAAGCGCAGTACAAAATATCCGCAGTCAATCCCACCACGCTGACGAGGACACTGTATTAGGAAAAAAGCGAACGAACATTTATCAGGATATATAGTTTAAATAGTTTTATAAGTAGAACCACTATAACAGTCAAACATGGGAAAATATACCTCCACTCTGATCCAGTTGATGTTGCTAGCCCTGCTTTTTGGCACTGTTGCATCTCTCTGTGCTCTGTATATTTGTATAACTCTAACATAATATAAACACATATTTAGAACAATGTCACATAATAAATAAACATATATAATTATTCAGAACACTATACATCATCACTTACGTATCAACCATGTTCTTCAGATTTTCATATTTGTTTGTATCGCCATCCAATGAATCTATATAATACACTATTTCTTTAATCGGATTAATTGCGACCAACAACCAGTGACCACTATAAAATAAGACAACAGTTTAGACGGAAATGTTATATAATATGGCAAAAATCGAACAATTATAATAAATGAATTTAGAATAAAAACTAACCCATGGCCAGTATTATATGGCAACATAAACAACTTCTCCGTATTCGCACCCATAAATCTCTGGACTGTGTACTCTTTGACTGCTTCTGGTGTCTGGTCTATTGTCCGTGAGTTGACACTGCTAGCAGATAAGAATGCAAATACTGAAGTCAAATCAGCGGGGACCAACATCTTGTCATACAAGCGCCTAAAAAAAATATAATCAACATTAGATTATTCAGTTAAACGAGCGAATTTTAAAATGTTCAATTATCTAATTAAAATGGATCGAAGTACCTGATGTAGGTATGCATAACCCCGACGCCCAATTCTAAATGTTTGAAAACCTGGTCGAAATCCTCCTTAGCAAGTGTTTCGGAATATTCAAAACCGAAAATACCTTGTTCCATATGTATTAGACGGATGCCGCCCTCAGGCACGTCTGTTGTCCCTACATATGTTTGAAGGCACAACCTAAATTGAGGAACAAATGCTCTTTTTGTCTCGACCTTTTTTTTGGGCACCTTGGAAGTTTCAGGCATGTTTCCCTTGCTGACATGTTGCGACTGCTGATCAAGAACCTAAAAGTCATATATAAGTTCAGTAAATAATTTATAATAAAATAATCACTTAAACTGTAGTACTAGTACCTGTAACTTTGATGCAGCTGAATCGGTATCCCGCACAATAATTTTATCATCTTTTGTTTTGGATTTTGTGGGAGTCTAAGATCATCATGTCAATAAGAAAGTGTAAATGTCAGAATAACTTTCATGTATGGGTAATAAAACATTGGAATATTACAAGGTTCAACCTACCTCATCATCCATGAAAATGAGATTCGTCGGCCATGCTACATAAGCTCCTATCGCGTCTCCCACCACTGTTGCGTCTGATACATCGTCTCGCATAGGCAACAAC